TACTTTGTATGCTGCATGAAAGCATTTCTAATTGCTGTCAGCCCTCTCCAAAATGAGCATTTCGTTTTGGATCTGTATGAAATACTCACATTAATTGTATTGCGATTTCATTGAAATTCCAACCAAATAAAGATGTACTGACCTTCCAGATCCTAGTGCCCCACACTTACTTGAGCAAGCTCCAGCAGATCTTTGCACTGTTCGTGTGGGCAAACCGCAAAATTCGAGTAGCTACGGAAATATTATGTAGGACCGTGGACAGAGGGGGGTTGGGGATGCCGGACGTGAGGCTGTACTACAGGGCGGCACTACTGTCCACGGCTGTCTTGGCACACAAAACAGATGAAAGGCCACAATGGGTGGAGATAGAATCGGCTCGGTAATGCCCCCAGGGTGTAAAAATATATTTTCTGGATACCTTATAAACTGCGCCACAAAACATTAGACATGACTGAGATCACGTTTCTGCTCCTTAAGACTTGGTACGATACAAATCTCCAATTGGGGCACACGAAACAATGGTCACTGTCAACCACAATCTGTAGCCTACACCCAGCTAACCTCTCACTAGATCACTGACCATGGGTGCACAAAAGTCAAACACCTATACCAATCTAACAAACTAATGCACTATTCCGAACTGCAAAGTGTATACAAGCTACCCCACTACATGTTGTTCTCCTACCTGCAGTTAAAATCCATGTTAGCAACAAGACAAACAAGGCCGTCTTGAAGCCTCTGGACCACATCACAAATATGTGTGAATCAGGGATTATTCCCAACAAATTACTCTCATGTATGTAAATGACAACCCCTTGACCGACGACAGAAAGGTTCAGGGCCGCATGGCAGGAGGACATAAATAAAACCTTCACTACAGAACAATGGCAAAAGGCATCTACAGCACATAAAGGCAGGTCAAAATGTGCCTCACACTTGGAGTTAATGAGAAAAATTCAATATAGGTGGTAAATGGTGCCCACTAGACTAGCAAGTGTGTATCCTCAGATCTCGAAACACTGCTGGAGGTGCGGGGAAGGCGAGGGAACAATGTACCACATATGGTGGGCATGCAGATCCATTAGGCCATACTGGGAAGAAGTGGAGGGAGGCATTACAAATCCAGATCGACCTCCAACTGGAGTGCAGGTTGTTATTTATGACACTCCCTGAGTACAAAAGACCCCAAGCATTGCTGATGTACCACATATTGATTGCAGCAAACACATTGCTAGCGAGAGCCTGGAAGCAGGTAGCGATATCGATGAAACAGGCATTGATACGCCAAATCACACTGAATATTGACTATGAAACTAAGCTTTACACACAAGGTGGCAAGACCGCTCCTAATGTAGCAGCAAAAACGTGGTGGGACAAATATCTAGGTAGGGAAGGTGGGTCCTATAAATTGGGAAAGGCATGATCTATGAAGTATAAAAGGGAAGAAAAAAAAGAAGAAAAATTACACAAGGAAGGAAATAGCGAGGGGAGGTCAAACACTGGCGATAAGGGGAGGCCAGTCAAACACTGGCGATAAGGGGAGGTGTCGGAAGAAAATCCCTTAAGGGCAGTAACAAACAGGATGATACCCATACTGAACATAGTTAAGACATAGGACACTTGTTCGCTAACAGCCTAGTATAAGAGAAATCACACTTGGTAAGATAACCTTCAAGGGGAGGACGTAAGAGGACAACTAGTTATAGCCAATCAGTGGCGGATCCAGGGGGGAGGCGCAACGGGGCACACTTCTCCTGCCCCTGCTACACCCTCATACACATACTGACCCCATATATACACTGCACTCCCATGCACACACTACACCACTCACACAAACACACACTGCCCCTCCTACACACAGTGCTCCCACTGCACCTCCATACACACACACCCCTACCTACCTAGAGGCCCTATCCCCATACTACAGCCCCTATCCTGACAGATCCAGGTAAATTGTCAAACTGTTCTTAAATGGTTTGACTATTTACTCTAGGAGGGCACCACGGCACTCCTGGCACCATAACCACTACAGAGAGCTGTAGTGGTTATTGTGCCTGGATTGTTTCTTTAAATAATCTGAGTGCCACTCCCGAGATAAGGCTCTGGATCCGCCAGTGCTCCCAATATGTCACGTACTATGGAAGGCATTGCTATGCCTCGAGAATGCTGGCTTTTTTTTGTTCTGTATCACATGTATAACATTTCCATAAAATATCATTGAGAAGAAAAAAAAAAAAAAGGATGTACTGAGACAAAGTAGGGAATTCTTTGTCTGTGTTTCTCTTGTGCTTGACAAAAGAGTTGTCTTTTTGTTTTTTTTTCTCCAAGTTTATAATTTCCTCCAGCTGTGTCACTAGTGATGGTTGTAGGGGAAAAAACAAAACAAAAACCCTCTGTGGAGGATCTCACGGAATCCTGCATAGATCTGACATTCGCTCATGGCAGCTTAAAGGAACACTATGGAGTCAGGAACACAAGCATGTATTAAAAACACTGTCTAACCTCCCTGGGTTGTAACCATTGGTGTTAAAAAAAAATCAATAAAATAAAATCAACGTTTTACATTGTAGGGTTAAACGGACATGGCCACTGCACCCAGGTCACTTCATTAATATGGAGTTGCTGGGTTAAATCCAGTGGTCCTTTAAGGGAAGAAACAATTGTTTAACATGCGTTAGGTCAGATGGCTAGAAAATGGCAAATCTATATCTTTCATGACCGGTTCAATTTAATCTACCAAGAGAAGGTTTTGGCTGTCTATATAGATGAGAAGGCATTTTCCCTTCAATTGAGGACTTCTGAGAAAAAAAACACGTTCTCAATGTAGCAGTTGCCAAAGACTGGAGAATACATCTCTCATCTTAACATAACACTGCTTCTGCCAGCGTTCTTCCCACAATACATCCTGCTGTCATCTCTTCCCCAGGTAAACCATTCACACACACCCAGCCATCTACCTGATCTAAAAGAAAACGCTATTCCTAGACGCAACCTTCTTCCATTGCTCCATGGTCCAGTTCTGATGCTCATGTCCTTAAAGGCTCTTTTGGTGGTGGACAGGGGTCATCATAGGCACTCTGACCGGTCTGTGGCTACATAGCCCCATATACAACAAACTGCGATGCACTGTGTGTTCAGCGTTAGGTTTTTCAGCAATTTAAGCTACCATAGATCTTCAGTGTGATCAGATCAGTGGCTAGCCGTTGCTCCCCACGTGCATCAAAGAGCCTTGGACGCTCATGACCCTGACACCGATTTACCAGTTGTCCTGGGAGCACTGGCCATTTTGAATATGCTCTGACCCATTCGTCGAGAATTACCATTTGGCCTTTGTCAGAGTCACTCTGCTTGCCATTTTGTCCTGCTTATAATAAATGAAATGAACTGACTGTTAACTTGCTGTCAAATATTTGCCACCCCTTAACAGATGCCATTGTAACGATATCTGTTATGCCCTTCACCTGTCAGTGGTTTTAATGTTGTGGCTAATCAACGTGTGTGACAGTGTGTATGTGTACCTGCATATCTGTGTTTCTGATTGTGTGTATCTGAGTATGCATATCTTTGTCAATGTATGTATCTGTATGCATGGCAGTGCCTACATCCCAACTTTAAAATGCCAACATGACACATAAACATGCCCCTGCATTCAAACACCAACACTGCACAAATACTCCACTGCATTCAAACATGAACAATATACATACACAACCCTTGCATTCAAACACCAACACTATGAACACAGCTCTGTATTTAAACTCCATTACTACATACAAACACACCCCTGCATTTAACCCCTTAAGGACCGGCCTGTTTTGGCCATGTTGTACGTTAAGGACCAGAGCGGTTTTAACACTTTTGTGGTGTTTGTGTTTAGCTGTAATTTTCCACTCACATATTAACGGTTCCCATACAAATTACATATTGTTTTTTTCAGGACAATATGGGGTATGTCCAGTCTTTTTTAGTAGCCACTAAAAATGCAAAAAATGCTAACTTTGGCCAGTGTTTGTGACTAAGTGGCTGAAAAAAAGGCTGAACATATATACCCCATTTGCAATATCTTGGGTTGTCTTCTTTTGCAAATGGTATACCATCATGGGGGTAATTCTCATTCCTGGGCTACCATACGCTCTCAAAGGCAACATAACCAATCTGACAAATTTCAATAATAAAAAAAAAAGGTAAAACCAAGCCTTAGAACGTTCAAAAACACTATAAAACCTCTACATGTGGGGTACTGTTATACTCAGGAGAATTCGCTGAACACAAATATTAGTGTTTCAAAACAGTAAAACGTATCACAGCAATAATATCATCAGTGAAAGTGCCGTTTGTGTGTGAAAAATGCAAAAAACTTCACTTTCACTGACAATATCATCGCTGTGATATGTTTTACTGTTTTGAAAGACTAATATTTGTGTTCAGCAAAGTCTCTCGAGTAAAACAGTACCCCAAATGTACAGGTTTTAGGGTGTCATAGAAAGTTACAGGGTTAAACACAGTGCTAGCAAATTAAATTCTCTGGACTTTCTGCCTGGGCTGTCAGGCATAGCCCTCAAATTGCAATCAATAAAATTACTTAATTATGTAAAAATATTTACATAAATATGCACGTAGAATTTAAATATATATACATATTTATATATTTGACGTCTACGTGTATATTTATGAAATTATGTATATGGACATATGTATATTTCGTATTATTTTAAGAACATTTATTCTAAGTTCACCTGCTTGCAAATATTAAAAATTATAACAACCAGCAAGAAAGAATCTTTACTTAAACATTTTTTTTTTTTTTTTTAAATCATGATTTAATTAGTCATGAGCCTTCTCTGGAGCATCCATCTCTACTGCGTTAAGCTCTGCAGTGCAGGGCTAGCTCATTATCTGAGTGTTGGCTGATTCCTTTCATCTCATGAGCTAAGCCCAGCACCACCAGGCTTAGTTCAGTGAAGAGTTTCAGCTTTTTAAATCACGCTAAGAGTAAGTGGCTTGAGGGTTCTGTCCTCTATAGATAAGTCTATAAGTTACTAGTTTTACAGGTAAAATAAGGAAAATAAATTAATGGGGTAATACTTTGTTTTCTAATTGATCAGGAGATAAGCCTTTTCATTCAAGAAATAATCTTGGAGTGAGAATGAGCTTCCCATTGCAGGAAAACAGTAGAAGCCGTAGCTGCATTCTATTGTGCCTATTAAAGATAATTGGTAACTGGGTCATTACAGACTTACATTTTATGTTTGTTTTTTTCCATTTCAGAATCAGGCTTATGAAATTATTCTAACTTTAGGCCAGGCTTTTGAAGTTGCCTATCAACTGGCCATTCAAGCTCAGAAATCCCGGCATCCTGAAGCTTTAGTCTCTCGTCCAGCCAAACCTGTCCCAAAACCACGTGGTAGCATACGGAGACAGACTGTAAGTACTTAAGAGTAGTGTTTGAATCACCATTGCTTGTTTATCTTGTGCTTTTTTCAGTTATTTGAGTAGAAGTCATTTATATTTCTACACAAAAATGTAGAATAGTCTTATATTTACACAGCAACTTTATTCTAACTCCTTTTTACTTTTTTCTTTTTACAGTTGTTTAATTTCTATATAAATTGCTTTCCCAGCATTATTCTTAATTTACTTATATCCATTCATTCATTTTTTTTTTTTTCCTGTTTATTTTCCAAGATTCAGATTTCAGTTCTTTTTGTCTGTTATGGTTAAACACAGATTAATTGATTTTAGTTGGTTGCATTTAAAATGCAATGTACTAAACTTTGCGATAAACATGAATTCACTAATATGCTTTGTGTTGGGACCTTTATTTTGTTGACCAATCGTAGACAAACTAACCGTGTATAATACATGTCACATGACAGATGGACTCATTGGACGGTGAACAATCTGTGACCTCTCACGGGGGAGTGTCGTGGACTGGGGATCCTAAGCAGTAGTTGAATAGGAGCCAATGAGAAGCAAGTGAGTAGAATTAATTCTCAGAGCTTAATCATAGAAAAACAAAAGCAAATGACAAGACTAAAACAACATCAATGAGCAAGTGTGTGTGTGTATAAATGTTTAATGCGGATACTTTACATGTTGATCGAGTTAGTTTGTTGAAGTGTGTGAAAAGTGTTTCATTTTACAAAAAAGTACCCTTTTCAACAGAAATTGGCAATTTATAAATTTAACCTTTTTATACCATCATGACTGCCAATCAGGCAACCATTCCTGTTACTTCCTGGTTGTTTAGCTTAGTGGAGCTAAACTCAAGAGGCAGCATTTGCCCAGAGTAAGTGCCTTGCAAAGACTTCTCATTGAGTTGCATTGGGAAGTCTGTGATTGGACAGGCGCATGAAGTGTGAGCTTTCAAATAAAACATGAGCAAGTAATAAGAATGCAACATAAGTGTATTCTGTACTGTAGGTGAGTCCCACACCAGTCTTATAGCAGTTGGCTGGTGGTCTTGTAATAAAATTTTTCTACCCTTGTACACACTGCAGGATGACACTATGTTGACTTCTTTAGGAAAGATATATCTAATTTTCTTTTTCTTTCTAATACTCGTTAGTATTTTGTGTGTGGAGGGGGGGTGTTGCCCTTAATTATTTATAATAGCAATGTCTTAGTAGCATTTTTTGTTGAATGAACATGAAATTTGGGCCTTTGTGCTGATTCCTACATTCATTGTTTTTGTTTGCTATATACCTAATTTTAACTGTATTTCTATACTTGTTTTCTGCTTTTTCTCTTTCCAGTTATGGATCCTGTTTTTCAAAACCAACAGACCTCCACTGATCTTTACATTTCCTTCATATCTCACTATGCTGAGCAAGAGAGGACAAAAGGACAAACACCAAGCTGCTGCAGATAAAGGGAGCACAGTTGCCTCCTCCTTCATTGATGTTTCCAAACTCACTCATAATTTATGGGAGAAGACTGGCAGTTATAATTTCACTTTCTTTTTTGCCTCCGTTTCATATGTTTTTTTGGAATTCAACTTTATAAGTTAGGTATATATGGGCAAAATGAAGATGTGGAGTTATTCTTTCTTCCATATAACTTTAATTCATGACATTGAGTTTTACGCTTTTATGTGCAACTGTTCTTCATATCCTTTTTGATTATTTTTTTTTTTTTCCCCAACTGCACACACCCTTTCTAACATATTTAATGTAGCACTTTTTTGGGGTGATGTTTGCAGTTTGGAACAACAAGGATTTATGTCTCCTTGAGTGGTTGAGCTTCTTTAACTCACTGCAAGGAATATTTGTTATGTGAGTGTTTTGTCCCTTTAATTTGTGTCGGAAAGTGAAGGTTGCCTTCTGAATTCCACAGCTCAACTGGTATGAAAGTCCCTTTGAAACTACACCCCTGTTCATAGTATAGGGCTAGTTAGGGATTTGCAAGACCGAAAAAGGCCCTTTTGAAGACTCCATATGTTCTCTTAACTTAACAGGGCTTTTCCCCATCATGTGTCTGAAATATATTCTGCCAAACTATTAAAAAGTTAGCCAGAACGTGGTACTGGAAGGTATGGAAAAGCAATTCCAGTTGCTGTTTTACCTTTGTGTTCTTGCTGCAAGAACTTTGGGCCTAAATGGTGGTAAAATTCCAAAGCAGGTCTGACTTGAGAGATTTCCACAAATGTCTCTATAAGCTATGATTAAAAGTTAAACATTTTTGTAATTGGAACCACATGGGGGTATTTATACATGAACATTTTAAAGAGTAATAACGCAGAAGTTGGGGCAGATTACCAGATAAGTGAGGTTTAACATTTTTGTATTTTATGCTTAATGAATTTGAAAGCATGCATAAGGCCCATAGAAGCAAAATATACATGTTATTTAATTCCTTTTTTATGTATGTGAAACTGAGCCTATAATGTGTGTAGGTCTATTTTATTCTACATGGGACTTGTCATTTTTGACTTTCTGCATTTTTAGCTCAGTCATATATTGGGGAAGATGCTTTTAAAATCCTTTGATATATTTGCATTTACTATATCAAGTATTCTGCTTCATCACAGGCAGACAGTGCCCGCGTCAAGTCATCCGGACACTATGCAGTCATTTATTTTTAAAGCCTAGCTTTTTGCATTTTTTTTTTTTTTATTTGAACAACAGATTGGGGAAGGAAAATTGGGACATTCTTGTTGCAATCAGTTTGTAAATTTGCCCGTTGCTCATTCTTTTTCTATGCCCATTAAGCTGCGTGCAGGGAACCCAATGCCTACTTCATCTGCACATGAACAAAAATCTCAGCTCTTCCAGCCATGACGGCTTGTTCTCTAACTTTTGAAGTCAACTTCTGGAAGATTTTGTGGCCCTGCCCATGTGGACTCTTGCACACCTAGCATTGCTGCTGTACCACTTGAACATCACACTAACATTTTTAGTCAGTACTAGTTTAAAGCTGCTATATGTAATCCAGTATTTATCTTCTAGTGAATGAAATTTTGATTTAAATCTGCTATAAGGGTACATTTAATTACGGTACATTTGATCCTCCTTGTCAAATAGGGATTGGTGGTACAGAAATCTCACAGATGTTAAATTGATGGGGTGCTCCTCAATATTATACCTGTGTTCTCATATAAAATAGTCAAAACCATCCTCTTTGAAAATAATTTGATATTCTTGAATAATAGTGTTAATTATATCAGCACACTGATAATGAAAGCCCCAATGATGGGCTTCTGTGGATATTGAAGGTAAACACTGGTGTATAATGTTGATTTGTTTATTTACAACATTTAATCCAGGGCAAACTGACCAAAAGTTAGATCTCTAGCATTTGAACTACAACTCCCACTATTTTTGCCATTTTTATTGCTGTCAAACCATGAAGGAAGTTGTAGCTCTACAACAATTGATAATTTGTTAGATAAGAATATTATGTGCTGTTGGAAAACAGATCTGCACCCTCTGTCTGTACTCAAAAGATTGTCCCTTGCATTTACCCACCCTTGCTCCAAAAGGTCCAGAATAGGATATGAAAATAGGTACATAGATGCCACCATGCACTGTATAATTCTGAGTACCTTTACAGTTACCAGAAGAGGGGCTTCATTAAAATCCTGGCCATGATTATTCTTGCTTATTTTTACTATTCTATGTTTTTTTTTTTAATAACCCAAATTGTTATACAGCACTATGGTACAATCATCTTTTTCAAGGAGCTTATTACCAAATTACCTCCTTAAGATGATTAGTGGATACATTGCTCATTTTAAAAGTCTCAATGAAGAACTGCCCATTAATACTAAATGTCAAATGTTTGAGTCTCCATAACCAGCTAAATATGTCTGGTCATCTTACTTTACAAAACCTAAAAATGAAAATACACTTTTTTAATTTTATTATTTTGTGTGATTGGTTTGTGTAAATGTCAAGTTATGTATTTTTTTTGTGGGAGAACGTTCAATTTTCTTAAGTTTCAAATTCACAAGTTCTGTCTTCTTTGGCATTACAGTTATCAGGCCCTGTTTTCAGGTAAGCATGTTATATATTCCAACAAATTGGCATACCTGACATCCAACTTAAAGAGAAGGACTGTTCATTGAGCTTTAACTGTTTGATATTAATTGGTTTGTGTTAGTCTCTATATACATACACAGATTAGGCAGTATTTCTGTTACATACCCTGTTTATTTAAATCACAGATGTTTCCTAATATAAGGATATAATCACCTCCCCCCCCCACAACAGTAAGCTTTTATTTAAGAGATGAGGGCACTTGTAAAATTTGCAGTTTCCACCACTCTTTTAAACCAAACTATCTGTTTTTTTTGTTTTTTAAATTGCCACTGAATAAGGTGAGAGTAACGACAGTAACTGATAACAAATCAATTTGTTCAGCCTTAATAAGTTACAAAAGGGTTGTAATATCGCCTATTTGTTGTATAAAGGTATATTTACTGAAGACTTAAATACATTTTTTTCATTAAAATTTATTTATATAATATTTTGTAATACAGACGGTTAACTGCCTCTGAAATAGCAGTTTGGCGGAATGATTGTAAAAACAGTAATTTTTTTTAAAAATATTTTTTTTGCCACTGTATAGGTTGTGTGAAGCTAGCTGAATTGAAAAAAGGTTGCAAAAAGCATTATTAAAAAAGCATAGTAGGAGGTGTGGGCCAAAGAAATTGAAAGCTAGAAGAGTGAAAATCTGTCTAATGGACACATTTAGAAAAAAATAAAAAATTATATATTTTTTTTAATTTGATATCCGTGTGTGATGCTGCCTCCATGCTGATCAAAGCTGTAGAAAATTTAAAACACAACACTAATTTCCAATGATTGCATTTTTTTTTTTTTTAAATCCGTTATTTTGAATCACACAATTATATCTTCATAAAATCGCTACATCTTTTCAGCATTTCAATGGGGAAAAAGAGGCAACTAAGTATCCCTGGTACACAACTCACAATTTCAAGTTCTACTAGCCTGATCCTAAACTCTATATCACAAATGCTTACAAGAGAATCATGTTTTTGATTAATGTTTTGTCTGCAATATGGCATATCTGCTTGTATGGAGGTTCCCAATTTGGGAATTCAGCACTTTATTTTTTTGTTGTTGACGAAATTTAAAAATGCATCTGTAAAAACGTGTAGAGCAACATACTATGCTCTGACCACCCAGATTTTGCAGAACTAAAACTTCTATGAGGTTAATGGTAAATGACCATCTGTTGCATTCAAAGAATACTGGGGGTTGTAGTCCATCTATATCTGAGGGGTCAGAGTTGGTGTAGTTTCACTGTTGTATGAGTTTAGAGAGAGAGTGTGTGTGTGTGTGTGTGTGTGTATGTATGTATATATATATATATATATATATATATATATATATATATAAAAAATGTGTGTGCACCCACGCGCGCGTGCAAATTGGACATATATATTTTTTTGTGATGACCGCATGTGTGTAAAAGCTTCAGTTTTTCATACATTTATGTCCACACCCATATCACTTATACTAACTCCTCTCTTTACATGTCCCCTTACTACACATAGTAAATTACCTAGGGTGGGAAGTGATGTTTTACATTTGCTTTCTTTCATTTTCTTTTCCCTTTTCTTTTTTTTTTTCTCTTTAGTGTTTTGTTATGTAGTCCACTTTTTTCTTTCTTACATTTACTATTGACCTTACTACTGGTATCTAGTGGTGAATGCAGTTACACGTGACTTTCTACGGCTAGTGCAAACCAGCACAGGAAGCCAGGAGGTGACTTTGTATAACTGCAGTTAGAACCACTGTCTTATGCATCATACCAGAAATTTTCTCTGCAATGGTGACGTGTGTGTCATTTATTCATTAATGTTTTAGTAAGATGAAATTGTGCCAGTATCCCAGTCTGGTTTATGTAATTTACTCATGAAATTATATGCAATTGAATACTAACTGAATTTCCACTCTGTTTCCTGCCAAAATCTAAAATGTGGGAATGCGGTTCATGCTCTTTTTGTAATGTTGTGAGAACACACTTTAAGAGCTGTTGTGTATGTGATAGGTTTTTATTATCTTTTTGATATGTGGATGTTGCACAGCAATTTAAGAAATTACTTAATAATTGGAGTATTTCCACAATATCATGTCACTGTGATCTTTCTTTTTTTGTATTTCTTTTTTTTCTTTTTAATATTAATGCTAATTTTGATGCTGCACTGATGCACACAAAAGGGTATAAAACCTGTACACTACTAGCTTTCATTTATTTACTTCTTCACCTGTGCAAACTGTTGCTATATTAACAAGTGGAATGATATTAGGAAATATAACAACTGATCATGCTTTTCATACTCATTTGCATATTTTGTATTGTATTCTGGGAGTACATTTGAGGAAACAAAAAAACACTTCAAGCTACTGTGTTTGAGGGTCACATTTTGCCCCATATACAGTAGCCTTATTTTTTTCTTCATATGTAGATGGTGCACACCATTATACTTTAGAATTTGAGTTAGCATGTTTATGTAGTACACTTATACCTGTGGAATATTTCCATTTATTGTCACGTTCTCACCATCTTTGTTTTACTTTCCTCTGCATTTTGTGCAGAGAGATTAGTAACGGGGACATTTTCCTTGTGCCTTCTGTTCACTTTTATTATATGCATATTAGAACTATGTAATTGATTTCAACTACTTGGCTTAAATTAATAGTTAAAATACAGCTGGTACTATGTGCGCAAGATGTCTTTACCCTCAATATTTGTACAATATACATGTTTTGGCCAGTATGTATAAACCCATGTGATCAAATTAATGTTATTCATTTGTGTTTTTCAAGGAATCCTTCTTGGTTAGTCCATTGAATGGTACGAAATGCATTGTGTATCAGGTCTTTATTCTATATTCTAGAGAATATATTGTCAATATACTTTGTGTCTTGTGTTTGAGGGAACTACATGAATTGTAGTTACCATAACTTCCAGATTACTGTAACAGTGGGATTTTTAGGGGAGCACCCCTCGCCCAGCTTGCACGTCAGACTTCCCAGGAGCAGCCACTTGGAATGATCCCAATATTTAACCTTTCTAATAAGAAACTTGAGCAGTTTGTGTGATGATGGATGATCAAAGTTTGAATTTGTTTTTCCTTTTTTATTTTGTCTTTATATTGAACAAACTTTGGTGGCCTCTAGCAAGGTTTATGCATCTTGCTGCTGGAAGAGCCACTGTAAATAATGCCAGCCTTACCCAAGGCCTTTTGGTATTTTCTTAAGTGTACGACCTTAGAAAAATTAATAAATGAGATGATTTAGGACCAAAATTGACTTGTCTGATTTATTAAGTGTGGTGTTAGTTACAAATATGATTCACTTTATTAGAACAACAAACTGATTAAAATAGCTTACACACTGATGAGATAGCACTGGCCACATGATATAATTAACCACTTACACTGTTTTTAATCCTGGGCATCAACAAAGACATGCATTCCACTTAGGAGCACCTCTGTTAAGCCTCAAGTCTCATAATCGATGAATTTACCATCGCTCTACAACTGCCTTTTTTTTTTTTTTTTATTCCACCAAAAATTCTAGAAATCAATTAAAGCGGCTCATAGCCAAATTCCATATCGATGCTGTTCCCCTACCCCTGAAAATTTTACTATGTCTGGTTACAGTGGTGGTCATGTAAACTGTGGATTTGACTCTTCTGCATTATAGACAACTACAGACTAATGTTGCTTGGCTCACCCAAATGTATTTTCTCTGTCCATTAGTCCTCTGTATCCAGATGCTTGCAGGTTTATGCACAGATTACTTTTTCTGCTTAGCTTCTAATTCTGTTGATTGATAGACAAGCTCATTATTCCCCTACGTTCATATTGATGAAGCAGCTAGGCAAATCTCATGAACACTGAGTAATTCTGGCGTTTTTGTTTTGTGAACTCTCTAAAACCGCTACTTATGTTGAGCCAGCTCCCTACTCATGATTATCAGTGCTGTGAATGCATAAAATTGTCACATCACAGTATTTTTCTTCATTTAACCAAAGTACCATCAAAATAATCAGTAAGGTATAGAAGAATTAAGGTTAAAATAGTCCAGAAATTAGGTGCTCCAATCACCAATGTGAGTCACTTAACACAAAAACAAATAAAACAGTATACAAAATTGTGAATGGTGAGAGCACACTATATATCTTTACCCTTGTATTACTTAAAACTCCATAGGAATATGGTCATGAGCCACTTATAAAAGCTGGCTCAGACTAACAGCATATCAGCATATGTACAAGAGAACTCCAAGCTCAATTCACTTTGTGGTCCTTAGTTCAAGCTGTTTCAATCAAATCTGGATGCAAGAAGTGATGAAGTGCAAAAACTTTTATTCCACATATATATAAAAAGCTGGATACAAACAAAACACTGTTGTTTTAAAAAAGTCCTCTTAGAAATAAACTTGACGCGTTTCGGCATATAGCCTTTTTCAAAAGTCCATCTTTCTTCTTTCTGTCCGGTTTAAATACCTCTTTTTGGCGCTCTTTCTGCCGGCTGGGATTCACTTCCTCTTCCGGTTTCGGGTTTGCGGCCGCATCCACGTCATTATTTGGCGTCTGGCCGCATCTTCCTCTACTTCCGGCGCCACTCACAAACGTAATGTCCCCCACGTATGACGTCACAACGTCCTCATCACATTGCCGCCGTGGCGTTTACGTCAGGGGCGGGGCAATGAGTTCTAAACCAAATTTCCCTCTTTAAAAATGGGTCTCTTAAACGTCCAAAGAGGGCAAAAGCCACAATTTAAATTAAAATCTCAGTGCACATCATATGATATACTAGATACACATTTACATATATCAAATATGCTACAGAGAGAAAAGGGGGAAAGGGGAAAGAAATACATATAAATATAAATTTAAATTAACAATACATAAATATTTAAAACATTTATCTAAATTTATGTAGAAAGGAAATTAAGATCAACCCAATTCCATACATAATGTATACAAATTTGGAAATCTTTCAAGTATATCTAAATACACTTGTAGTACCATGAATTACATATGTATACTAATTAAAAAATTCCCCAAAAAAAAAAAAAAAATTTTTTTAAAAGATTTATATCAAATTCTAAAAAATGATAAAAAATAAATAAAATTGGATTAACTTTATAAATATGGGGTGATCTCAAAGTCCACATTTAGACCTTGTGGTATTAGAGTGTCCATATTAAAGATCCACTTCATTTCTGTCCTATTTAATAAATTTTCTTTATCTCCCCCTCTCCAGTGTATATCTACTTTTTCAATTCCTACAAAATCTAAATATTTTGGATCACTATTATGATACTCCATAAAGTGTTTAGACACACTATGATTTACAAATTTGCGATTAATATTATAGATGTGTTCCCTAATTCTGATTTTGAGACTACGAGAGGTCCTCCCTATGTACTGTAAACCACATGGACAGGTTAACATGTATATCACCCCTTTACTATTACATGTTATAAAGGATTTAATATCATACTTTTTTGTTGAAGTTTTGGACGAAAAATTCTGGATTTTTTTGGAAGGCCTATTTTTGGTTGCTTTACAGCCCCTACAGTCTCCACAATAATAAAATCCATTTGGTTGTTTTAAAAAATTATCCTTCTTATCAATATCTAAAAAACTTTTAGTTAAAGCTTGTTTAAGATTCCTCGCCCCTCTAAAAATAATTTTTGGTTTATCCTTTATAAAACTTGTTAACCTATCATCTGTTTTTAAAATATGCCAGTTTTTATAAATTATTTTCCTCAGGTCCTTATTATTGGAGCTAAAATCAAAGATTAGAGGTACTTCCTCATCCTCTCTTTGACCTAAAGGTTTATTTTTATATTGTAAAAGTGCTTGTCTATCAATTTTTTAAATCTCTCTGAAAGTTTTTTCCAGAGTATTACTATTATAACCTTTTTCCTCAAACTGTCCCATTAATCTTTCTGTTTGCTGTACAAACTCTTTATTTTCAGTACAGTTCCTTTTAATTCGTAACATTTGTCCTTTTGGGATATTTTCCAGCCATGGTCTAAAATGGCAACTTTTACAATCAATAAAACTATTAACGTCAACTGACTTAAAATAGGTTTTACTTTTGATCTTTTGTTCTTCGATAAAAATAGTTAAATCTAAAAAATTAATAGTCTGTCGGCTAATATCATATGAAAGGGTAATATCCCATTTATTGTTATTTAGATTGTTAAAAAGTGTTTTGAGTGTTTCCTCACTCCCTTTCCATATTAAAAACACATCATCTATATAGCGCTTATAGAGGACCAGATTTGCCCCAATTATTTCATCATTGTAGATAAAACAGTCTTCCCAATATGACATGAAAAGATTAGCATAGCTTGGGGCAAATCTGGTCCCCATAGCTGTACCTTTAATCTGCAGATAAAAATTTTTATTAAACCAAAAAAAATTATTATTAAGTATTATCTCTATTCCTTCTATAATAAAATTGATTTGGATATCTGACAAATCGCTAAATTTTCTTAAAAAATGAGCTGCAGCCTCGCAACCCCTACTGTGATCAATATTGGTGTATAGGCTGTTCACATCTGCAGTTGCCAAAATATAGTTATCTTCCCACTTAAAATCATTTAGAATATTTAAAAGGCTCATTGTGTCTTTAAGATACGCTCTACATTTTTTAACAGGATCTTGTAAAAACTGGTCAATATATTTAGAGAGTGGGGCTAAAAGGGATCCTATGCCTGAGACTATGGGTCTCCCTGGTGGATTATCTGCATTTTTATGTACTTTTGGAAGTACACAAAAGACAGGAATTTTTGGGAACTTAACGTTTAAAAACTCAAATTCTTTTTGATTTAGAATACCTTTTTCCAGTCCTTTATTTAAAAAAGTCTGATATAATTCTACAATTGTGTTAAGTGGATTATCTTGGAGTTCTTGATACGTACTGGAGTCTTCTAATTGTCTATAAATCTCTCCCATATATTTCTCCTTTTTCCAAATAATTACTCCTCCCCCTTTATCCGCAGGCTTAATCACTATATTTCCATCTTTTTGTAAGTCTTTCAACGCCTCTCTTTCTTCTTTCATAAGATTATTTTGATATTTATTTAGGGGTTTAATTTTCTTTATATCTTTCAAACAAGATCTCTCAAAAAAATTTTTAGACATAATTTTCTTGTGAATCTATGAAGGTCAATAAATGTTCCAAATTTATCAGCTGCACAACTCGGTGAAAATTTAAAACCCTTACTTAAAATTTGAACATGTGAATTGGTTAAAACTTTATTTGATAAATTAAAAATTCTAAAATCTCCTTTTCCAATTTTAGATTCTACCTTCTCCAACTCCTTTCTTCCCTCTTCCTTTTCTCCTCCTTGATGTTGTCTAATTCCCCCTCTTCTAGTTCTCTGCCTCGTTTGATAGGGGTATATACATTCCTTTTTCTCACTATTGGTCTGTGTATATCCTGACCTAAAAAATGGTCCTCATTGTCCAAATTCCTCAGTTTATTAAATCTATTAGCAAGAGGGACCTTTGGAGTTCTGAAATTATATTCTTCGTTTCTTCTATCCTTCCTATATCCTTTCCTATATTTAACTTTAAATTAATTTTAAGTAAGGGTTTTAAATTTGCACCGAGTTGTGCAGCTGATAAATTTGGAACATTTATTGACCTTCATAGATTCACAAGAAAATTATGTCTAAAAAATTTTTTTAAGACTATGCCCCTGAAATCTGTTGAAAAAGTAGATGATGGTTTTAAACATACAGGTTTGAAAAATAAATCATCATTTTATCCTTTTAATTTTAAGACGGATTCAATTAAGACATTTGAGAGATCTTGTTTGAAAGATATAAAGAAAATTAAACCCCTAAATAAATATCAAAATAATCTTATGAAAGAAGAAAGAGAGGCGTTGAAAGACTTACAAAAAGATGGAAATATAGTGATTAAGCCTGCAGATAAAGGGGGAGGAGTAATTATTTGGAAAAAGGAGAAATATATGGGAGAGATTTATAGACAATTAGAAGACTCCAGTACGTATCAAGAACTCCAAGATAATCCACTTAACACAATTGTAGAATTATATCAGACTTTTTTAAATAAAGGACTGGAAAAAGGTATTCTAAATCAAAAAGAATTTGAGTTTTTAAACGTTAAGTTCCCAAAAATTCCTGTCTTTTATGTACTTCCAAAAGTACATAAAAATGCAGATAATCCACCAGGGAGACCCATAGTCTCAGGCATAGGATCCCTTTTAGCCCCACTCTCTAAATATATTGACCAGTTTTTACAAGATCCTGTTAAAAAATGTAGAGCGTATCTTAAAGACACAATGAGCCTTTTAAATATTCTAAATGATTTTAAGTGGGAAGATAACTATATTTTGGCAACTGCAGATGTGAACAGCCTATACACCAATATTGATCACAGTAGGGGTTGCGAGGCTGCAGCTCATTTTTTAAGAAAATTTAGCGATTTGTCAGATATCCAAATCAATTTTATTATAGAAGGAATAGAGATAATACTTAATAATAATTTTTTTTGGTTTAATAAAATTTTTTATCTGCAGATTAAAGGTACAGCTATGGGGACCAGATTTGCCCCAAGCTATGCTAATCTTTTCATGTCATATTGGGAAGACTGTTTTATCTACAATGATGAAATAATTGGGGCAAATCTGGTCCTCTATAAGCGCTATATAGATGATGTGTTTTTAATATGGAAAGGGAGTGAGGAAACACTCAAAACACTTTTTAACAATCTAAATAACAATAAATGGAATATTACCCTTTCGTATGATATTAGCCGACAGACTATTAATTTTTTAGATTTAACTATTTTTATCGAAGAACAAAAGATCAAAAGTAAAACCTATTTTAAGTCAGTTGACGTTAATAGTTTTATTGATTGTAAAAGTTGCCATTTTAGACCATGGCTGGAAAATATCCCAAAAGGACAAATGTTACGAATTAAAAGGAACTGTACTGAAAATAAAGAGTTTGTACAGCAAACAGAAAGATTAATGGGACAGTTTGAGGAAAAAGGTTATAATAGTAATACTCTGGAAAAAACTTTCAGAGAGATTGAAAACATTGATAGACAAGCACTTTTACAATATAAAAATAAACCTTTAGGTCAAAGAGAGGATGAGGAAGTACCTCTAATCTTTGATTTTAGCTCCAATAATAAGGACCTGAGGAAAATAATTTATAAAAACTGGCATATTTTAAAAACAGATGATAGGTTAACAAGTTTTATAAAGGATAAACCAAAAATGATTTTTAGAGGGGCGAGGAATCTTAAACAAGCTTTAACAAAAAGTTTTTTAGATATTGATAAGAAGGATAACTTTTTAAAACAACCAAATGGATTTTATTATTGTGGAGACTGTAGGGGTTGTAAAGCAACCAAAAATAGGCCTTCCAAAAAAATCCAGAATTTTTCGTCCAAAACTTCAACAAAAAAGTATGATATTAAATCCTTTATAACATGTAATAGTAAAGGGGTGATATACATGTTAACCTGTCCATGTGGTTTACAGTACATAGGGAGGACCTCTCGTAGCCTCAAAATCAGAATTAGGGAACACATCTATAATATTAATCGCAAATTTGTAAATCATAGTGTGTCTAAACACTTTATGGAGTATCATAATAGTGATCCAAAATATTTAGATTTTGTAGGAATTGAAAAAGTAGATATACACTGGAGAGGGGGAGATAAAGAAAATTTATTAAATAGGACAGAAATGAAGTGGATCTTTAATATGGACACTCTAATACCACAAGGTCTAAATGTGGACTTTGAGATCACCCCATATTTATAAAGTTAATCCAATTTTATTTATTTTTTATCATTTTTTAGAATTTGATATAAATCTTTTAAAAAAATTTTTTTTTTTTTTTTGGGGAATTTTTTAATTAGTATACATATGTAATTCATGGTACTACAAGTGTATTTAGATATACTTGAAAGATTTCCAAATTTGTATACATTATGTATGGAATTGGGTTGATCTTAATTTCCTTTCTACATAAATTTAGATAAATGTTTTAAATATTTATGTATTGTTAATTTAAATTTATATTTATATTTATATGTATTTCTTTCCCCTTTCCCCCTTTTCTCTCTGTAGCATATTTGATATATGTAAATGTGTATCTAGTATATCATATGATGTGCACTGAGATTTTAATTTAAATTGTGGCTTTTGCCCTCTTTGGACGTTTAAGAGACCCATTTTTAAAGAGGGAAATTTGGTTTAGAACTCATTGCCCCGCCCCTGACGTAAACGCCACGGCGGCAATGTGATGAGGACGTTGTGACGTCATACGTGGGGGACGTTACGTTTGTGAGTGGCGCCGGAAGTAGAGGAAGATGCGGCCAGACGCCAAATAATGACGTGGATGCGGCCGAACACCGGAAACCGGAAGAGGAAGTGAATCCCAGCCGGCAGTAAGAGCGCCAAAAAAGAGGTATTTAAACCGGACAGAAAGAAGAAAGATGGACTTTTGAAAAAGGCTATATGCCGAAACGCGTCAAGTTTATTTCTAAGAGGACTTTTTTAAAACAACAGTGTTTTGTTTGTATCCAGCTTTTTATATATATGTGGAATAAAAGTTTTTGCACTTCATCACTTCTTGCATCCAGATTTGATTGAAACAGCTTGAACTAAGGACCACAAAGTGAATTGAGCTTGGAGTTCTCTTGTACATATGCTGATATGCTGTTAGTCTGAGCCAGCTTTTATAAGTGGCTCATGACCATATTCCTATGGAGTTTTAAGTAATACAAGGGTAAAGATATATAGTGTGCTCTCACCATTCACAATTTTGTATACCATCAAAATAATACTAATTGTACATTGGGATAGAGTAAGTAGTTCTAGCATTAACTGTTTCTTGATTTGGACATCTTAGATCCCCTCTTAGGCAATTACCCACCAACAAATGATAATCATACAATAATTAAAGTATTTAAGATAATTGAAAGAGTATATGGCCACATGCCTGTGGCAGTGGACACATAAGATGTGAGCTGTTTCACAGGTTTAAAACCATATCATAAAGATAATTTTCCATATCTCTGCTTTCAGAAAAATTTCACTCAATCATCATGGCCCTGCCATAACAGCCAATCTGTGTATATCACTCCCCAAAGACCAGATCCCACAAATGTTGGACAAACTCCAGAATTCCCTACAGAGCCGTTTCCACAAAAGTGCCGACAATATCACTAACCACATAAATGATGAAGTGGAAGAAATGATTGAGAATGAGGTTTGTTTTTTAATGAGGATCATGGAAATGCAGAAATTCTAAACACTTTTTTTTTTTTTTTTTTCCTTTCTTCAGTGTTTAACAAGGAAGAACCTGTGGCTGTAGATATGACAGTCATTGTTACAGAACAGTGATTGGAAGATATAGGAAAAAATACTTATAAAATGTATATAAATAAAGCCCCTTGTCAAGATGGTATACAGCCACACTTTCACCTGATTCCAGCCCCCATAACTTCTCAATGACGTCTTACCTTTTAAGTGTCAAACTTTTCAAATTGTTTAACCCGAATATGTGTCCTCTGGGCACCAGTCCAGGAAGGTTTGCCATAAGGCTGGTAAAAGACTGAGAGCTCCCTATTTGTTTTATATAACAGTCTATGGGAAGATAGCACTCCAGGGACTAGATAATAAGATGAAAAAACTTAGCTTTTATTCAGCAATATGCCACAGTGATCAATGTTTCAGTTCCAGTACAGAACTTTCGTCAGGATCCTTTTTCACCTTATTATCTAGTACCTGGAGTGCTATCTTCCTATAGACCAGGGGTAGGCATCCTACGGCACTCAAGGCTGCTAGAGCCAAACAGGCTCTGGCCTATCAGGAGTCCCAGTGAAACTTCAGATATCTGCTAATACGAAGAGGTGGTGAAGGACAATCCTCAATTTATGCATTGCAGCACCTAGAGGAAGTGATCATAGATCACTTCCTCCCAGCACTTGTGAATGGGTATCCACGCTGGAGTAGAGCCTCCTTGCAGCTGCTATTGCAGCTCCTGGCCAGCCTGGAATCCAGGGAAGCCATCCACACTGCTAGATATACACAGAAATGCAGAATAACTCTCCCTCGTTCAAATAATACGAACAGCCCACACACAAACATACACACAATCCACACAAACGCAACACCACTAACAATCCACATACATGCACACAACCCCACATGCAATACCCCAAACAGCCCCAAAAATACACACAACGTGAAATATCCTTCCACACACAATTCCACAAGCAGCCCTCATACACAGCCCACATTCATATGTATCATACACAATACCATAAACTACTAATGAACATATACAATATAATAGCTCATATACGCACAAATACAATGATACAAAGCAATTACAGTAAAAATAACACAAGCAGAATACGGCAGCATGCACACCTCAATTTAAA